GAACATTAAAGAGGCTCAAGAAGCCAACTCGGGGAGTCTTGGAGCAATGGGGGGAATGAGATGGTCATGGGTCATGTCCACTGGCAGTGGAGGAAATTCCACATTCCCATGGCAAGAGAATAGCGCACGAATGAACCCCGGAGTTACTCGGTTCCACGGTTCACATCGGTGGCGAGTGATGCCCAACCCTGGGGGAGGCCTTCATCCAGCAGAGGAATGATCGTGGCTAATGATGACGAATGTGAATAGTCCTTATATGAACAAACACGCGGAGTTTACACGTGCAGCACCCTCAGCTATTAAGCCGGCCGCGTTTAGTATTGTTACTGTGCATCAATATTGCAACAGGGACACTCATCTGTTCCGGCGCAGAAGTGCTGACATGGTGTCAAACTAGAAAACTGAACAGGAGCTGAAACCTTGAAACAGCGATTGAAATTTCTAAACAGCAAAGGTCAGCAGAAGGCTCCGTCTGAAAAGGTATTCCTCTACAAAGGTGACCGTTACTGACGACGCAGCATGTTGTCAATCCACTGCTGGATGAAGGCCATCGACGTCTTGTCGGTCATGGGAGTTGTCTGTCCATACTTCACCACGCTGGTCGGTGCGGCTTGGGGACAAGGGATTACTGAGGATTGTATCAAACTAAACTGTAAACTATACATTGACTTTATTATATCGGGTAAGGCCCACTGAGCTCCATGGCTGCTTTTCAGAAGCGAGCTGGCCACAAGCGCTAGCCAAACGAAGTGACTTATCATATAGAAATGTATATTAGCCAAATACTCTAAACACGTGATGTGGATTCTAAATGTGGAGGGGAATCCACGCGACCACGGGGAGAACGTGCAAACTCCAAACACACAAGCATCAGTCGGGATTGAAGCCACTACCTCCTGTATACCAGGCGAAGTAGTTAACATATCCTAGCCACCGTGGCACCCATGTATCAGATACCACCTGCCACTGATGGTGACCGTGGCCAGGAAACAAACTCAAAATAACAAACTCCGGGTTCACAGCCCAGGGTATACTGCAGACTCGATTCATACTACGCAGTGGAATTTAGAGTACAGTATTGTGAATATTACATTTTAAGCGAATCCGTTTTTGAAGAGATAATTCAAATACAGGCTTAAAACATCACTTGTTTCCAGGTCACCAACTCAGAAACATCAAGCTGAAATTAAACCTTGGCTTCACCCAGAGACCCACAGAGTCACATGAAGACATAAACGACTTGCATAGACTCACATAGAGGCACACACAGACTTACAGAGACTCATAGATTTGCATGGAGACCACAATACCCACATGGAGATCACACACACACACACACGCCTCGAGACCCCAACGACTTACATAGACTCATATACAGACACAAAGACATATAGAGAACCCAGAAAGAACATAGACGCACATAGAGACCCAGCCTCACACACGGAATAAGTTCAGCCGGGTCTGTCCCAGTCATTTACTTTGACAAACCCGGCTGAAAGTAAACCCTGCCGATTAACAGATATAAAGAGCAACTTGCTAATCCCGTTCTCAAAGCGTAAACTCGTGGTTCCGGAAATTAATCGAGCTCTCGCTTTGACTTTGGGGCATCTGGTTTGTTTGTTTTCTCTGCATGAGCTGTATGTGTGTGAGAGAGAGAGAGAGAGTTCAAAAGTGGATACAAAGACTTATATAATCATTCTTGCACAAGTATTACTTTGTTAAACATTAAATCATGCCCACCACCTGCCCACCACTGGTGTGTGCTTTGCGTAATGATTTGTAGCCCTTGATTAATCCGCCGCTGAGTGAAGGCCTCCGCCGTAATTCTGTCGGTGATGAGGGTTGCTTTGTCCATATTTGACCACGCTGCTCCGTTCAGGGTTGGCAAGGGGACAGGGTGTGTGCCAGGGTGAGCCGTGGCCGGGTATCGAAAACTCAGATCGCCGGGTGAATAGCGCAGTGCACACTGCGTAAATGTTGAGAATATTGTCTTCAATCAGAATATTTGTTTTTGGTTATTTTTGTTATTTTCTTTGAACCTACCCACGTGACTTTACCACGAAAGACCCAGACAATGTGAATCCCTGCAGTCACGAAAGCTCTAAGTCAAGAGAATATTTATTTTTACTGGAGGAATCCGATGAGCTATAAAGCTCGTCTTCACAGATGTCCATTCGGGGTATGGGGTAAGCACGTTAAACGGTACTCACAAAAACACACAGAAACGTTATACTCTTAGTTCTTTCGGTAAAGTCACGTAGGTAAAAAATGAAATAAAAAATAAGAAAAATAAAACAATGAAAACAATGAAATCACGACGTTTCGGAGGCAACACAAGTCTCCGTCATCAGGTGGGACCGTCACAGCCAGATTAGCTGCATCACTTGATGCAGCTAATCTGGCTGTGACGGTCCCACGGTCCCACCTGATGACGTCGTGATTTTCATTGTTTTATTTGTATTACTTTTTATTTCATTTTTTTACCTACGTGACTTTACCGAAAGAACTAAGAGTATGAATCCTTGCAGTCACGAAAGCTTCAAATACAGAAACGTTACCCTGCTAATCCGAGAATGGAGATTTCACATTCCCATGGCAAGGGCAGTCCATCCAAAGGACAACCGCTGTTGGATGACCTTTAGTATTTTAAAACCAGGCCGAGGGCCCGTTGTGCAAACGTAACTCACACGGAAGACGTCCAAAGGCCTCCGGGACACACCACAGATGCAGGTGATAGAGGCTAAACGCGAACGCTTGCGAGGTGTCTCATAATGCGAACTAAAAATAACATTGCGCTTGTGTAACTGCCAAATAAAAGGGAAGGAAACATGATTCACACTGGTTGTTATTTTTTTTTCTTACTGTACATCCAAAAGAAATGTCTTTATTTAACACCAAATTATTAAGCTGACACTGCCGCCAATCCCATATTTGTTTCTCCATCCCATCGGCCACACGCACAGCCTTCTGCGAGCACATTTTTCCAACAACATTGGTTTGACACAAGAAGGCTCTGGGTCGGTTTTGACATTCGCTGTCTCTGCGGCAGAGTTGGGCTTTGCTTGTTGAACCAATACTGTTTGAATAGGGCAGCAGAGCCCGGTCACGGTGATGGAGGGGCGCCCGGTGGCTCGCGCGCTGAGCTGTAAACCCACCGATTCTCAGCCGCGGCTAACATTCAGTGGCAAATCATATATCAGTGACCCTGGGCACCACCGCTTAACTAACCCGCAGCGACCATCGAGGCGAGGTACAGCCATATAATCCCCCGTGACTGACACAGCGTGGGAAAGCCTTCATCCACCGGTGGATTGACAAACGGATGAAAATAGAAAGGCAATTATTTCTTTATTACTACACTTGGGACGCCGCGGTGGCTATGAGATGTTAACTACCTCGCCTGGCATGCAGGAGGTCGTGGGTTCGATCCCAACCCCGACGCCTGCTGTATATCTGGAGTTTACGTGTCTCTCTCTCTCATCATCATCACGGTGACTAGGAGATGTTAACTACCTCGCCAGGTATGAAGGAGGTCGTGGGTTCGATCCCGACCCCGACGCCTGCTGCTGTATATTTGGAGTTTGTGTGTCTCTCTCCCCGTGGTCACGAGGTTTTTTTCCTCCGGGTCTTCCGGTTTTTCTCACCACATTTAGAATCAACGTCACGCGTTTAGAGTATTTGGCTGCAATACATTTCCACGTGGTAAGCCACTTCGTTGGGCTATCACTTGTGGCCAAGTCGCTCCTGAAAAAGAGCTCTATAAGCTCCGTGGGCCTTGCCTGGCCAAATAACAAAACAATATATAGTTTCAAGTTTACATGCTTACACAGGAAAGTCTTACAGAGTCTCAAGACTTGTTATTCAACAGAGTGCTGGCAGACTTTACCAGTTGAGGGCGATGTTGCTGCAGCCGCTGTGTGTGATCCCAATTGAGTAATTTGTAGAAGTACCTGTTCAGCATTGCGATGTTTGCCCAGTCAATCGATACGAGTTGCATCGTGTATTGTGTTTTATCCATGGGAGCAATCCGGACAACCAGGAAAATCCGGTGGAAACTCGTGCAGAACACCCCATACGGGGAAGGTGCCCAGGTCGCAAATCGAACCCAAGCCCTGCTTGTTGCGAGGCCCATGTGTTACCCCCCCCACCACCCTCTCCAGCCTCCCCCATTGGGACGAGTCGTCTCCATAAAGGAAGTATCGTAATTAGAATCTATATTCATACTGGAGGAATCCGACAAACAAGTAGAGCAATATCCAAACGTCGACTTCCCACCAAGTGGCACTCAGTTTCATCCGATCCATGGAAGAACAAATACGTAAATATTCCTTGCTCAAGTGAAACGTTGTCCGGGGGCTGTATAAGCAGTACAGTGTTAATCCCAGATTTAAAATAGCAAAAAAATCCCACCATGACCACCACCACCGCCACCACCACCACCACGTCACGATCAAGCGGGTGAGGTTCGTTCGCACGCTCTGCTCTGACAAGCTCGGTGATGAGCAGCTTTGGTGGCAGGTTTGTTAGTAAGTTATTTAATTCCCTGTGCTCTCTCACCTGACACCAACTCAGTGTTAAAGCACCACGTGGCTTGCACACAGGTGAGTCTATAACTGACACAGTGTGAGATGTCTACAACTCACAGGTGAGTGAGCCGTGTCTACAACTCACGTGAGTGTCTACAACTCACAGGTGAGTGTGTGCCGTGTCTACAACTCAAAGGTGTGTCTACAACTGACAGGTGAGTGTGCGATGTCTGTAGCTCACACAGGTGAGTCTATAACGAACACAGGTGAGTGTGAAATGTCTACAGCTCACAGGTGAGTGTCTACAACTGACAGGTGAGTGTGTGATGTCTCTAGTTCACACAGGTGAGTGTCTACAACTAACCAAGTGAGTGTGTGCCGTGTCTGCAACTCACAGGTGAGTGTACACCTCACAGGTGAGTGTGCGATGTCTCTAGCTCACACAGGTGAGGTGCCATGCGCCCGACAGCTCACCTTGCTTGCGGCCCCACTCCGAGGTGTCCACCAGATACGGCGAAGGAGGAGGAGGAGGAGGCGTCACGGCCATGCGACGCCACGGAATAAGGCAACAACCACCACCGACTTAAGCCACTTCTCCCCCCCACCCACCCCCGGCTTTGCAGGCTACGCCCGGATTTCATACAGGGCTATTGTTTTAACTGGAACTCGGAGAGTAAATAGAATTCCAGGCACTACTACAGTCGGGGGAATGTACGTCGGAGTGAGAGAGATCATGGGCAGATCGCGATGAGTCAAGATGCCACGGCTGCCGTGTGCCAGGCAACGCGACACAAAGTGAGGAGTGAAATAAAATCGCGAGACAAAGCCGGAGACAAAGCGTGCAGGAAGTGTGGCGGAGAGTTCGCGGCTTGCTCAGCTCAACATCACGCCCACACACACAATCATACACACACAATCATACACACACAATCCTACACACACACTCACAATCATACACATACTCTCTCATACACATACACACACACACTCACAATCATACACACACACTCACAATCATACACACACATACTCTCACAATCATACACACACACATACTCTCTCACAATCATACACACACAATCCTACACACACACACACTCACAATCATACACATACACACACTCTCACAATCATACACACACATACTCTCTCACAATCATACACACACACATACTCTCTCACAATCATACACACACACATACTCTCTCACAATCATACACACACACATACTCTCTCACAATCATACACACACACATACTCTCTCACAATCATACACACACATACTCTCTCACAATCATACACACACACATACTCTCACAATCATACACACATACTCTCTCACAATCATACACACACATACTCTCACAATCATGCACACACACACTCTCACAATCATACACACATACTCTCACAATCATACACACACACATACTCTCACAATCATACACACACATACTCTCACAATCATACACACACACATACTCTCACAATCATACACACACACACTCTCACAATCATACACACACACATACTCTCTCATACACATACACACACTCTCACAATCATACATACACACACTCTCTCACAATAATACACACACACTCATACACACACTCTCTCACAATCATACACACACAATCATACACACACATACTCTCACAATCATACACACACATACTCTCACAATCATACACACACATACTCTCACAATCATACACACACACTCTCACACACACACAATCATACACACACTCTCTCACAATCATACACATACATACTCTCATACACACATACACTCTCTCTCACACACACGCACAATCATACACACACACTCTCACAAACATACACTCACTCTCTCACACTCTCTCACAATCATACACACACACTCTCACAATCATACACACACACACATACTCTCTCACAATCATACACACACATACTCTCACAATCATACACACACACTCTCACACACACACAATCATACACACACTCTCTCACCATCATACACACACATACTCTCATACACACATACACATACTCTCTCACACACACACACAATCATACACACACACTCTCACAAACATACACTCACTCTCTCACACACACTCACTCTCTCACAATTATACTCACACACTCACACACACACACTCTCACACACTCACAATCATACACACACACACTCTCTCTCACAACCATACACACATTCACTCACAAAGACAAAGATCCCCCATATAGCCTGTAACAGACTTTTGGGGCAAGTGCTGTTAGCGAGCACCTATGAAGGCCGGCACGGCACACGAGGGGTGTCTACACATCGTACACATTGCACCAGGTACTAATTTGTGGCTTAGTCGACCTAGGGGAGGTCCAGGACCGGTTCAGATAATCGTCACCGGTGTTGGCCGTGAGCGGTAATCGAACTCGGGTTGCCAGGTTCATAGCGCAGCGCGCTAACCGCTACACCACCGCTCCCCACACACTCACATACACAAACATACACACTCACATACACAAACATACACACTCACATAAACACTCACATACATAAACATACACACATAAACCCTCACATAAACAGACATACACACTCACATACTCGCATACACAAACATACACACTCACATACTCGCATACACAAACATACACACACTCACATAAACACTCACATAAACAGACATACACACTCACATACACAAAAACACACACACACTCACATACACAAAAACATACACCCCCTTACGTAATCGCACGGCCTTTTACAAAGCCAAAGATCCCCGTATAGCCTACACAGGCTGTTGGGGCAAGTGCTGTTACCGAGCATCGATGAAGGCCAGCAACGTTGCATGAGGGGGTGGTGCTGCCAACGACACACCCAGCCACCTTTGTCTCCCCAGGGTCGATAATAACGTATTCACGCACGGCACCAGATTACTCATTTAAGGCCGAATCGAACTTAACCGGCTCGCACATCACTCGCCACCGATGCAAGCTTTGGCCAGGAATCGAACTCAGAAAACCAGGTTCATAGTGCAGAGTGCTAACCACAACACCAGCTCGCCACCCCTCCACGACCCACAAAGACACACATTCAAATACAAAGACAAAGATAAAGATCCCCCGTATAGCCTTAACAGACTGTAGGGGCAAGTGCTGTTAGCGAGCACCTATGAAGGCCGGAACGGTACACGAACGAGGGGGTGGGTGGCCAGCACCACGCCCGACCGCCTTTGTCTCCCCAGTGGCGATGTTTACACACCGCACCAGGTACTCATTTAAGGCTGAGGTGACCTAGGGGAGGCCCAGGACCGGTTCGGATAATCGTCACTGGTGTTAGCCGTGAGCGGGAATCGAACCCGGCTCGCCAGGTTCATATCGCAGCGCGCTAACCGCTACACTACCGCTCCCCATACATTCAACGACACCCACTCATACACACACACACTGACTTACATTGACGCGGGCACACGTGTACACAAACGCAAACACACGCAAGCGATGTTTTCCACATACCAGGACGCCCGTACAGACCCGCACACCTGGCCTCAACATTGAGGCAGTCAAACCAAGCTCAAGGGACAACATTCAGCCAGCCACTCTTTCTGAACCGACCCCTGCCTCTCGACCTGTCCGTCTTCCTATTGGTCTACCCGCCTTTCTGTCTTGCTGTCCGTCTGTCGGCTTGTCTAAATACACATCTTCATCTTCTTGGTTCTTTCGGTAAAGTCACGTAGAAGGGACATAATAAAAAATAAAACATAATAAAATAATTATGTGATAATTATTTTATTATGTTTTATTTTTATTATTTAAAGTCACGTAGAAGGGAAATAATAAAATAATAAAAAAAATAAAAAAAATTATGTGAGAATTATTTTATTATGTTTTATTTTTATTATTTTATTATTTCCCTTCTACGTGACTTTACCGAAAGAACCAAGAAGATGAATCCCTGCAGTCACGAAAGCTTTAAATCGAAAATTGCACATCTTCATGTTTGTCTGCCTGTCTGACTAACCATCTCGCCCCCCCTCCCTCTTACTCGTCTGTCTGTCTGATCACCAGCATCAGCCATAGCCAGCTCTACCTCCTTGCCCAAGTGCTTGGCTATCGGTCTATACACGTGACCGCCCAGCCTATCTGCCTTCCACCCTGCCTGCCTGCCAGCCATCCTACCCACCTGCCCACTGCCAACCTGCCAATCTGCCCGCAAATCTTCTAGCAATGCTACAACAAAAACCTTCCCACCTGCTTGTGCTTGCCCATCTGCCAGCCTGCCCACACACCTGCCTGCATGCGCGAGTGCTCGCTTGCCAGCCCATCTGCATGCCTAAACTGCTGGCTTGTGTGCCGATATATACATCAGCCCTGGCACAGCTGCCCACTCCTGTCACTCCGTTGCCTAACTGCTGAAACGTCTGGCTATGCCAGGGGTCAGCAACATTTGGCTACCGAGCCGCATTTGGCTAAGGACTGCTTCGTGACCGTTATTTATTAAGAAGTCTCCTGTTTTCCACGTGCATTGCAGCTCTTGAAATATTGAAAGTTTTCTTTACCGAATTCTAAAAAAATGGCTCTTCTTCTTGTGCCGAGATGTTCGCTACCTCACCTGGTATCCAGGAGGGCGTGGGTTCGATCCTGATCCCTTACGTCTGCTGTATATTTGGTGATGAGATTGGGCACATGCTGTGGAAGTGTATTGTGGGGCGACTCACAAATAAATACAAGTTTAGCTTAAATGGTTTTTACACGCTTTTATTTAACTCACTGTCTGTTGTTGTATCCTCAAATATTGTAACTCTATTTTAACCCACTTCCCAATGTGCTATCGACTGCAAACTTGGCATACTTATGTCATACTGATGACAATACTATATTCCATCATTAAAAATAAATATTTTTAAACCATCTTTTTTATATGTTATGTTTCGGCTTGGGTCTAATTGTCCACGCTCAACTGACGTTGCCTGTAAATCACCGTGATACCTTACGTTATGGCAAACGTAGGGGCCACTTCCTGGAGTCGTGGAGTTCTGCCATTACGAGTACGGTACATTTCATTATAAGCGTGTTTTTAAAAAAAGTATTTTTAAATATTACTCTTGTTTATCCGACCCGTGGCCGATACTAATCTGCCCACATGCCCAGTCTGACCCACCTGCCATGGCGCACCCAACCCACCTACCACAGCCCCTGGCGAGGCCCCTGTCGTGCCGTAGGAATGCCCCGCAGAACGCGAGGCTGCTGGCAACGTCCCCGACAAGATCAATTGAGCAGCCGCGCAGGGAATTGAAGGCGTTGTCCAGAATTGGGAGTCTGGGATTAGTCGAGTTACGATTTTTTTTTACCAAGATGGAATGCATTTTTAAATCCTTTATATTAAGTTCGCTTGCTTGCTTAAGACTGCGCAAATCTTTCGGTCGTTTTTTAACCCACTTCCCGTGATCCAATCGAGCTGACATTTTCCACACAGACTCGTTGTGCGTGACAATTAATGTTCGGGGAAATTTTTTCCCAAAATTTTACACTTTTTAGGACAAAAGTATTATATTTAATAACCAATTGCTTAATGCTGCAATGCAATCATCTGACCCATAGGTGGCAGCCATCTCAAGCCAGAGGACGAGAGGACTCTAGCCGCCACGCATATAAAGGATTTATAGTGAAAAACTTTGTTTTTACGGGTTATACTTATTGATTTGCTCATTACTTTCTCGCCCTCTCTCCTGGGAAAGAGGGCACGATAGTGGTGTGTACATGTTACATACTCACACTAAGGTGGGAGTAGGGATATAGTGGTTAGCGCACTGTGCAATGCAGCCTGAGAAGTTGAGTTCGATACTTGGACGCGTCCAACATATGTGGCG